TCTAAATTTGATCTTGTGATTAAAGTCAATGGAGAAGTTGAAGTTGTCATAGATGAGTTCGAGTCAAATGATTAAGTCAAGTCAAATTTTTAAGATAATGGCAAAGTCAAAAGTTTTGAAAAATAAATGAAAAATGGCACAAAGCAAACCAATGCAAGCATACCAAGACCTCCAAAGCCTTATTCAAAATATTGTGAACCACTTTGTTGCGAGCCAATTGTTGCGAAAAGTCAAGGTAATAACTTTAAACAAGCGTTTATCGAGAGACAATCTAATTTTCTAAAGTCTATCTTTTCTACTTTCTAATTTTATATTAGGACTTATTTTTATATTTTTAGGTTTTCCCGAGCAATTTTTCAATGTTTTACGTAAACTTTCACGTGATTTCATTTTTTCCTTTGTTAATGACTTTTGTTAAAAAAAACTTGCTAGGAGGCAATCTAATTTTAAACTCTACCTCTCTCTCTTTCAATTTTTATATTAGAACCTTTTTTTTTTTTTTTAGTATTATGATTTCTCTAACAATTTAGAGTCATGGTCATTAAAATAAATTGGTCTAAGCATCCACGTCATTTCATATTTTCTTTGAGAAATGCTAGGTGTACACCTTTTGGTGTACACCATGGCTGACAGCCCTCTAATAGGGGTGGAGCCGCGACTGTCAAACTAAGTTTACACCAAATTTCATTTTCTTTTGTACAACTACCCTTGTGTTAGCAAATTATGCATTTGTTTGGATTAGCTAAAAATTAAATTTTTAGAAGAATTTTGATACTGTGATTGAAAAGTTAATAAACATTGTGAATTCTATAAAACGTGGTTGAAATAAATTTGAGGAAGAATGAATTTTAGAAAATGGGGTAAGATATGAAATTTATTTTTCTATTTCAGATATATGGAGATATTATGAGAATCGAACAAAAGAGACCAAAGAGGATATGGGCCGAGCGCCAAAAGGAACGCAACATTGTAACTCGAGAGATTATTCTATCCTTCTTTAGGTTTATATTGAGGACAATGCAACTTGAGCTTGGGGATATAGGCGTTTCTATGAGTCAACTGCGTGCTTTAAAATTTTGAAAATTAAAAAAAATGCTTACACGTTACTTAGATAGCCTCGTCGATTAACGAACTTGTGCTTATTTTCAACTAATTAATTATCTGTGTAAGATCCAATCATTGAGCACATAGCAGGATTTGATTGTTGTTTAGGTATGAAAATTATTGTGTAAATAGGATGAATTCTTGAGTTGGTAGAATTTGGTCATATTTTGCTCTAAATACCACATATTCGAATTAAATAAACCACTTAACCTAATTGTAAGAGTGAGTTCGGATGATTGAGCATATGTATATGTGCACGTTGGATCACTCCGAGGTGCTTTGGGCTCACAAATTGAAGTGAAGCATTGATAGATGCTTGAATTTGGGTTAAAAGTCCGAATTGTCATTGAATTTTGTATAATATGTTTTCATTGGACACTAAACTTTGACAGTTTTTTGTATTCTAATCGAACTTTTCAAATCGATCCAATGGAGGAGTAATTTTTTATTTTTTTATTTTTGGCTATCGAACTTATTAAAACTTGTTCGAGCCCCCCCCCCCCCCCCCCCCCCCCCGCCAATTTGTCCCCCCCCCCCCCCCCCCCCGGGTCCAAAATGATTTTTGAAATTGTAGTTTGTTGGAGAATATGTAGTTGAAAATTAAGAAGAATATGTGATTGAAAATAAGAAAGAGAAACATGTATTTCAAAAATAATGAAGACCAAACAATAGTTATTCCACTCATCACTAAATAATAGATTGTTCAATAAATTCGACTGGCTATCTGATATGACAAACATAAATGTTGACATGACCTATTATTGTCGTTAGTTGATAATAAATTAGCCAAAAATATGCTTATAAAATGCAATTAACCGGGCGGGGGGGCGCGGGGGGGGGGGATTATGCTAACTGAAAAGATTAAAATTCAACTTCATCTTTCATAAGCACTTTCTGTAGGATAATTTATTGCTTTAAATTATCGGATCTTTCATGTTAAATCATCAAGAAATACATAATATGGCGGAAGCGTACCTGAATCAGACATGGTTAATGCAATAATGAATTATGCGGTCTTGTTTTCCAAATCTATATGCAGTCTCCTTTTTCGCTTTGTGATGGGATGCAGAAGAAAATGAATAATATGTACGTGTGATTTGGGGACCATAACCGTATTTATATAGCGACGTCCTTTGACCTAATTCGACCCATCATAGAATTAGGATTTGGACCCGATCTCTACACATATGTAAACCCACACTTTAATTGGATATATTAAAACCCAAAATCGAAGCCTTATTAGATCACTTTAATTGGACTTAACCGAGTTTGATAGCCTTTAATTTAACACACAATTATTCACACATATAAGTCCATCGATAGATTAACAATCCTTACAATCTCCCACTTGGGCTATATGTGTCATCTTATAATTGTGCATTAAATATAACCTTATGAGTACTCAGAATTTTGCTATCATTACCGAATGTATCTCCAAACAATCCCATCCATCAATCATATCAACATAGGATCAAAGCGACTTTCGCTACTTTTATGTAGCTAAACCCATCAATGGTCATGTATATCGATACAACCGAATGACATCGATCAAGCATGGATGTGTAGCATGAAAATTACATGTGAAGTGATCTGTAACATGCCTATTTTCAACTGGTTCACCTTAATGCCTTAGTGAGATCATTTTAAACAAGTTCAGAGATAATAAATCAAATAACTTTATAACTGAAAATAACTTTAACCTTAAACCGTATCTAAAATAACAGTACATGTGTCCAATATGAAAAGAAAAAATACAAACTCCCACTGAAACTAGATATCCTCAAGAGACACTATACCCATATGAGCAGTGTGCTCATGAAAGACCTTGGGTATCAATCCCTTAATAAGCGGATCCGAAACCATGGAGTTTGTCCCAATATACTCTATTGACACCTGTCCACTCTGAACTCTTTTTTTAACAGCCAGTAACTTAATCTCTATATGTTTTGACTTTATTGAGCTCCTGTTGTTATTGGAATACATCACTGCTGATTTATTGTCACAAAATATCTTAAGTGATTTTTCTATATTGTCTACAATGCGCAGCCCAGTGACAAAATTACGCAGTCATAGTCCATGATTTGATGCCTCATAACACGCTATAAACTCCGCTGTCATGGTGGAAGTAGCTATGAGTATCTGCTTAGCACTCTTCCAGGAAATAGCACCTCCAGCAAGCAGGTAAATATAGCCTAAAGTGGATTTCCTACTATCTTGGCATCCCGCGAAATCGAAATCAGAATAACCGATGATCTCCAACTGATCCGATCTCCTGTATGTGAGCATGTAGTCTTTTGTTCTCTGTAAATACCGCATAACCCGTTTGGCTGCTTTCCAATGATCCATTCTCGGGTTACTTAAATATCTCCCCAGCATCCCAACAATGTATGCTATATCCGGACACGTACAAACCTGAGCATACATCAGACTCCCTATAGCTGAGAAATAAGGAATCTTCTGCATTTCTTTAATTTCCAAGTCATTTTTAGGGAAGTGACTTAAGTTGAACTTGTCTCCTTTAGCCACAGGGGTGTCACCTGGTTTACAATCTTGCATGCCATATCTTTTAAGAACCTTTTCGATATAACTCTTTTGTGATAATTTAAGAATACCCCGAGAACATCTTTTGTTCTCTGTAAATACCGCATAACCCGTTTGGCTGCTTTCCAATGATCCATTCTCGGGTTACTTAAATATCTCCCCAGCATCCCAACAATGTATGCTATATCCGGACACGTACAAACCTGAGCATACATCAGACTCCCTATAGCTGAGAAATAAGGAATCTTCTGCATTTCTTTAATTTGC